TGGTCCGAGCACGAGCCTGACATATTTGAATTATGTTGGTCTAAGGACATGGCCAAGCGTTAAATACGAAGGGAAACAATTTCATCTTCTTTAAATTTTCCGGTAGCATCAAAGTTTCCGGTTTTTTATCCATAGCTGCAGGTGTTTATCCCATAGTTATTGGGAGCACCACTCCCGTTCCGACATTCTGGTGCAAGGATCTCGCTTGGAACGTGTTCCAATATATTTTTTGGATCTTGCTCCAATTTTTAGGATTCTCGATCCTATTCATAACGGAGCTTGCTCCCGATGCTTCAGGGATCTCGCTCCCTCTACTTCAGGGATCTTGCTCCCATTCACAACGAATCTCGCTCCTGCTAAAGCACGGATCTCGATCCCATACACAACGGATTTCTCTCCCTCTACTTCATGGATCTCGCTCGCATTGTCTCACGGAACGCGTTCCGTAACATTGTAGATGTGGTTCCTGAACAAATTAAATCCCCACTCCCAAAATTTTAAGATTGTGATGCCGACGTTCTCAAAAAATAGATTGCACGTTGAGTTGTCGAGTGTGCCCACGCCCATGATCCATCAGGGTCTACCCTAACATACCAACCTTGAAATTTATTATTTCCATATCCTTGGGTGTAGTTTCTATAAGGTTGCAACCTTAAACAATCCAATTAAGACGCACCACCAAATTTTATCCTGTCATGTAATTTTGGTGTAAAAAATTCTTAGGATTATCTGAAAATCTATTTTCATATCTAATTAAATACTTTTAAACTCCAAAAATGGTTAAAATCATGTAGATCTATAAACATATGAAAATTCTTAAAATGGACAGTGTAGATAATATGTTGCAAGATGCAAAATTTCTGGCACTCAAATTTTTTTATTTTTTTCATACATTCATACATCTTGATGTCGAGATGATCAATTAGAGACTTTTTCAACATTAAAACAACCTTTTCCGATGGATTTTTGGGGTGCATCCTTAGTTCAACATTTTATGGTTGCAACCTTATATAAACATTTTCCTATATCTTTGATTTCATAAAATACTATATAATTATCAAATGAGTTCCCAAATTTGGATTTATTTATATATATAAATTTAAAATTGCCTTTATTTCTATGACAATAATTTTTTTGAAATTTTGAATAAATTTATTTTACCATTTTATAACTTTCTAAAAGAAACTTCTTAAATAAAAATATCATTTTAATATAAAAATTAATATTTTTAATAAAATTTTTATACAGTTATTTCTACCTAACGGTGATGCATTTCCCGAATTTAAGCCTAAAGGTAACCATATATGCTTAGGTTGCATCCAAATGGTACCCAATCCTAGACAACATATTTTCATGTATACAAATGCCAACGTAAAGCTCATTTCGTATCATGTATGCGAATTTGAACAATACTAATATTAATCGTGCATAGCATTAGAAGACTTTATTTCATACCAGATTAATGGGATTTAATTAATCCATGGACATCTAAGATTGGTTGTGCATGGATCTAGCCACATGGGTTATTGATAGATAGAATAATGGTTTCTAAATTAACCAAATTGAGATCGCATTTGTCTGGGAATGGGCTGCCGTGCTTAGTTGGTGCTCGAATCCATGTGTAATGGAATTGGGTTATTCATACAAGTAGAGTTCTGCGATGGGGGCGTAGATCACCATTGTGCGGAACACAATCCTACAATGAATGAAGCTCGATCTTAGCCAAATAGGATCATGGTATTGTTTAGATGGGGGAGAGACTCAATATTAAATGGGATGTCATTCTTGTTGTCGAAGGGAGCGCAATCCAAATAGACATGAGGGCATGATCCCATGTTACATGTAACGCATTCATGTCAAATAGGGATCTCGATCCCAATGTATCAAGATCTCACTCCCTATTCAAACGGGATCTTGCTCCCTAATCAAACGAGATCTTGTTCCATAAATACATGAAACATGCTCCCGTTAAATAGGGATCTCGATCCCAATGTATCAGGATCTCGATTCCAATGTATCGGGATCTCGCTCCCTATTCAAATGGGATCTCGCTCCCTGTTCAAATGGGATCTTGATCCTTAATACTCGCTCACCAAACTCTGGAGCTTCGGGCAGTCATCGATCTGATGCTCCCGCTCCCGAAACCGGGGCCACTCCCACTCCCACTCCCGGTAACTATGGTTTATCCTCAGGAGACAAGGCCCCTCAAATAGAAAAATAGGTTCCAAATTTCAGATGAGGAAGAAAATCAATTCCAAGGAAATCAAGAATTCAAGTATAGCATACTGAGTCAAAGCAAATATCAAATAGTCCACACTGAGGTAAAAAACTAAGTTGGTCTCTAGCCATCTAAAACATAGCAAAACCACATGAATTGAACACTATTTGACCAAGAAGGTCCATGGAGAGGGTAGGTTTACCAACTGATCAGTCGGTTCACAGACCGGCCCTAGTCAAGGCATTATAGGTTTATTTTAATTTCTAAGAAAAAGTGCAGCTAAGACATTGGGCTCTTTAAAGTAAATTGCTTTCATCACTACTCAATAAATGTTATGGAATTCATGCTTCAAAAAAAAAAAGGTTGTAATCTGGTGCTGGTCCCACCTACGCAAGATCCCCGAAGGGATGAGCTGGAAACGGTCTTAGCCTATGGCTTTTTATGCACAAAGCGGCCGCTCTCAGATTTTAAACCCATGCTCTTACGCTTGCTACCCGAGCTTTTTTTACCATCACATCAAGTTACGGCCCCTTGAAAGAATAAGTTTAATATGTGCAATTGAACAATCACCTTATTTCTTAACCATAATAAGATCCATTCTCTAGTTCTAGAAAGTGAGTTGTTTTCAAATTTTTTATATAACATTGTCACAGCTAGCTAAACTTGAGCTCCTCGTACAAAAAGAGGGACATTTTCCATAAGGGTCTAGTTTCTTGAATGAAACTTTAATGGTGTAACATTGAACTAGCTAAATAAGGTCCTCTGCAAAGATTAATCCTTTTCAAAAGGGTAAAGTCTACTGGTCTTCTGGATATTAGTGTACAAAATTGTGAGTATTCAAATGGGTTTTCTTTTGGGTGATAAATCTGATTTGTATAATAATTGTAAAAATTCAAACACTATCGGACAACTGTGACTGTGTGATGAACTTTGGATGGTGATGAGGTGTAGGTGAAGTACTGTAGAACTTTCACCTATAGACGTTTTGTAGTGTCTTACATAAACTGTAGAACTTCACCTACGGCCTTATCACTATTCAAAGTTTATCACACGGCCACAAAAGTATGATAGTGTTTGAATTTTTAATATTTTCTTAATACATTTAGGGTTTACGGTTTAAGGCTTAGAGATGATCTGAATTTTTGTAGATGTGTGCACCTTAGTGAGATGCACATGAATAAAATATAAAACAAATAATTTGAATGATAATAATTATACAAAATACCCCTATAAAGTTTCAAGGGTAATTTCATCATTTTATTTTATGACTATTATTTTTTTAATATTTTTTTTGGTGCGACTTAGTCATATGTACACACACCACAAAATTTAGATTAATCTGATTAATATAATAAATATAAAAATTCAAACATTATCAGACAACTGTGACCGTGTGATGAACTTTGGACAGTGATGAGGTGTAGGTGAAGTACTGTAGAACTTCACCTATAGGCGAAATGTTCTACTGTTTCGCCTCCGTCACGTACTTGCTATGTTCGTGGTAGTTTATTGTATGGACTCACAATAGGCGGAGCCATCCGCTGCAGCTCCGCGTGAATCTTTGGACCACCACAGACCTAGTATATTCGTGATGTTATCCACCACGAACATGCTAGGTCTGTGGCGGTCGAAAAATGCACGCCGTCTGATTTTTTCGAATGGCGATTGGTCTATGAGCGAAATCCCTGTATAGCATTTGGCCCATAGGCGTTGCGTAGATGCTTTCATATATATATATATATATATATATATATATATATATA